CGTCAATTCAATATGGCAGAGTCCAACGGTTCTGCTGCTGCAGGCCACCGGCCACGGCGAAGTAGCTCGATCGCAAATCATAGGGGAACAAGTCGCCATGGGCTTTACAGAAGAGATTCAAATGTGTCCACCACAAGCTTCATGGACGATGTTGAGATGGCACACGATGAGATGTTTTCGGGTGCTGTTTCTGAATCAGTACCCTCTAGCATTGCATCCTTCGCACATCGACGGTCACGAGCAGATTCCACCGCAAGTTTCACCTATTATCAAGAAAACGAGGACGATGAGCTTTTACGAAGTACCGAGGACGAAGACGATAGCGCTATAATAGATGAGGAAGACGACATTCAATTTCAAGAGGAAGATTCGGACCTAGAAGCTGCCGGGTTGGCTATGAGAAGGACGTCAACCATAGAATCCAGAAATTCCGTGCATGATCGATTATTACGCAGTGACAGTGCAAGAACAGATGGGAGCAATCTTGGACAAGGTCATCGAACAAATCAAAAAATATACATCATCACAGAGGACCTTACTATAGTAGTCGCTGGTTTTCGAACAAGTACTTTTGGATTCGCGCTATACTTGGCCATCTGTATACTTTCCTTTGGTCTTGGTTATCTTTTACTACGATGGTTGCCGCGCTGGCAAGTTCGGATCATTGGAACTCCATCACCGCTGAGAGAATGTACTTGGGTTGTCATTGAAGTCAGTAATAATCGTATACTCGAAATTCCAATATTCTTTTCAAGCGACTCCGTGTGCCCCCTTAAACTGCAACGATACGCGTGCTGACTTGATCTGTGTGCGTAGAACCAATGGGGAGAATTCGTTGTCCAAGATGTCGAATCAAAGGAATACGGGCGCTCTCTTTCTACAGTCTTCGGGCTGTCAGAAAAGAAATACATGTCTTATGATTATGACGACGACCCAATTTTGGACAACTTACGTATTCTTGACTATCGTTATATGCGGTTCTCATTCAATCCTTTAAAGGATAGATTCGTCCTTTGTAATAGTGAGTTTCAAAGCTTCCTCATTGTCGGAACACAGTCCAAACTATTGGAATTCGTGGGCTATTTCGTAGCCTATGCGAACTTACCGTCGTAATTGAACCGCACTAACTGATAGCTCACAGGCTGGAAGGATCCGGCATGGACCGACGTAAAATCCATTCGTTCTGGGATCAGTGGAGAGGAAAAGGAAAATAGAGAACTAGTTTTTGGAAACAACATGATCGATATCAAACAGAAGACTGTTCCTCAACTTCTTGTGGATGAGGTACTTTATAATTCTCTCCGCCTGAAAGAAACCCCTACTAACTAGCTTAGGCATTCCACCCGTTCTACGTTTTCCAAGTTGCCAGTCTTTTTCTGTGGTCAATGGATCAGTACTATTACTACGCTGCGTGTATTTTTGTCATATCCGCTGTGAGCATTACTACTACACTTCTAGAGACTAAATCGGTGAGTACATATACATACCTGACAGATCGTATTATACACACTAACAATTCAACCAAAGACAATGAAACGATTGAGAGAGATTTCAAAATTTGAATGTGACGTTCGTGTACTGCGCAATTCCTTCTGTAAGTTACACGATTTTTCTTTTCTGGCAAACACAAGCTAACATTTTTAGGGCGTTATGTTCCATCAAGTGAACTTGTTCCTGGAGATGTTTACGAGGTCACGGATCCTGCCTTAGGACAGTTTCCCTGTGATAGTCTATTACTGGCTGGCGATTGCATTGTAAATGAAAGCATGCTCACTGGTAAGGTCTACAAATCTCATAAGTGAAATATACTGACTTCTTTTAGGCGAGTCCGTTCCTGTCTCTAAAGTACCTGCTACTGATGAATCTTTGCGGCTTCTCAACCTATCTGCTTCATCCGTAGCACCGGAGCTCGCGAAACATTTTTTGTTCTGTGGGACTAAGATCATCAGGGCACGCCGTCCTCATGATGATAACGATGGTGAGGCAGTTGGTCTTGCTATGGCTGTCCGGACAGGCTTCAACACTACAAAAGGTGCATTGGTTCGGTCTATGCTCTTCCCAAAACCTTCAGGATTCAAGTTTTACCGGGATTCCTTCCGGTACATATCTGTCATGGGCGGTATTGCGATGCTAGGATTTGTTGCATCGTTCATAAACTTTGTCCACTTGAATTTGGCGTGGCACTTGATTGTTGTCAGAGCTCTGGATCTGATCACAATTGTAGTTCCACCAGCTTTGCCTGCTACACTTACTATTGGAACCAATTTCGCCCTCGGGCGCCTTAGAAAGAAGCAGATATTTTGTATCAGTCCTCAAAGAGTGAATGTCGGTGGAAAGCTCGACATCGTATGTTTCGACAAAACTGGAACATTGACTGAGGATGGTCTAGATGTGCTTGGAATTAGAGCTGTACATCAGCCCGCAAATAGATTCAGTGATATCCTCACTGATGCAACATCCTTGTTACCCGGGGCGGCTTACGAACGTGACCCGACAGTTGATTACAACATCCACAAAGCCATACTCTACACAATGGCAACATGTCATTCGCTTCGAGTCGTTGATGATGAACTTATGGGCGACCCGCTGGATCTGAAAATGTTTGACTTCACTGGTTGGTCTTTTGAGGAAGGCCAACACAATTCCGGCGATACCGATGATGAGGATTCGGGAGGATTGTCACCTTCAATTGCACGACCCCCGGCAGGCATGGAATACGATTTAGATGATCAAGACAACGCCACTAACTCTCCCATTGAACTTGGCGTTCTCAAATCTTTCGAATTTGTCTCCCAGCTTCGCCGAGCCAGTGTAATCGCCCGGAACTTTGGGTCCCAAGGGTGTGACATCTATGTAAAGGGTGCCCCTGAATGTATGAAAGATATTTGTAAAGCGGAAAGCTTTCCCAGTGATTTCGAGGATCTTCTTGCGTATTATACCCATAGAGGCTTTCGTGTCATTGCTTGTGCCACGAAACATATCAAGAAGCTTAACTGGGTGAAGATGCAGAAGATGAGCCGCGAAGACACTGAATCGGAACTGAACTTCATTGGGTTCATTATTTTTGAGAACAAACTCAAGCCGAGTACAGCTGGTGTGTTGGACGAATTGACTGAAGCTGGTATTAGGAAAGTTATGTGCACGGGCGACAATATCTTGACAGCCATCAGTGTCGCCCGAGAATGCAATCTCATCGACAAGACCGCTCATTGTTTTGTACCCCATTTTGCAGAAGGAAACTCGCTAGATCCCAAAGCTCGATTGTCATGGGAAAGCATTGACAATGGCATTTATAAACTCGACAATGAAACTTTGACTCCACTTCCTCCGCCAGTAGAGGGCGATGCGTCTTTGCCTTACGATATATCTAATCTAAGGAATTACTCTTTAGCCGTGAGCGGAGATGTCTTCCGCTGGGTTGTTGATTTTGCGCCTCCAGTCGTTCTACAGAGAATGTTAGTCTGTGGCCAAGTATTTGCGCGGATGTCGCCCGACGAGAAGCATGAGCTAGTGGAGAAACTACAAAGTATTGATTACTGCTGCGGATTTTGTGGCGATGGCGCGAACGATTGTGGTGCTTTGAAAGCCGCAGACGTCGGCATCTCATTGTCTGAAGCAGAAGCCTCCGTCGCTGCGCCATTCACCAGCCGAGTATTCGACATTACCTGCGTTCCTGAAGTTATACGTGAGGGCCGAGCGGCTCTAGTGACCAGCTTCAGCTGTTTCAAATACATGAGTCTGTACTCGGCCATTCAATTCACATCTGTGAGCTTCTTATACGCATCTGCATCAAACCTCGGGGACTTTCAATTTCTCTTTATTGATCTAATACTAATTTTACCTATCGCCATCTTCATGGGATGGACTGGACCTTTCCCTACTCTATGCCAGAAACGTCCTACAGCCAATCTTGTATCAAGGAAGGTCTTGACGCCACTCCTAGGTCAAATTGCCATTTGTATCCTCATTCAGGCCATTGCATTTCAAGCAGTGCGTCAACAGCCTTGGTTCATTCCTCCCCACCTCAACAAGGATGAATCTAACATTGAAAACTCCGAAAACACTACACTGTTCTTGGTATCTTGCTTCGAATACATTCTTTCTGGAATCGTCCTCAGCGTGGGGAAGCCTTTCCGTCAGTCCATGGCACATAATCGTAAGTATTTGCACTTCTTTCTTCTTTCTTCTTGACGACTAATTATTACTTAGTGCCTTTTGTCGTCACGATTGTCGTAGCATTACTATTCTCACTGTATATGCTCTTTGATCCTTCACAATGGTTGGCGAATTTCATGCAGCTTACCGAAATGAGCTGGGACTTCGAGGTCTTTATCCTGTTTCTAGGGATTGGATATATCTCGCTGGCATGGACATCCGAAAATTATCTGCTACCGAGACTTGGAAAATATTTGGGTATTTTGAAGACGTCAATCAGCCGGAAGCCTAAGCAGAGGAAGACATACAAGTTGGTGTTGGAGGAGATGCGCTTGAGTTCAATGCAATAATGGTTGCGGCCAATGAACAAACACGCAATACACAATGTAAATGTAATTATATCTGTACACAAGCTGGAAAATAGATGGTTTATAAGAATCTTACGGTAGCCTGGCATGTGATCCAGACTCCAGTTGAATTTACTTGAATTACTTTGAATCTATTTGGATAATTATTTTCACCCAAATTATTAAGTAAGTGATGCTCGATCGTTGAAAACTCAATCGTCTCGATCGTATATACATAGGCAGGGCGAAAAAGTTAACCCACTGGACAAGCACTAGCATGAAAGCTAACAGGAGCTACGGGTACCGGAGTACATTTTAGATGATGATATTAATTGGGGACTCTTCCGCGCACCCACCCGCGCTTTGAACATTCCTAAACACAGAGATCCCGAACTCCCAGAAACAATCTGTATTTTAGTTCCCTTAATCCCCAGAAATATTCACGGGAACTAACTATCTTCTGGTTCTTCAACCTTTGACATCTTTGAACTGCTAATCATGAACTATGGTAAATCCAATCTACGTCATCTTACTTCAGATCTTGCTTGACAGTGGCAACTAACATTTTTCTAGACTGGATCCTCGATGGAGGATATCTCCCAAATGCTGTAATCCGGCTCGGTATTCGTCGCCAATTGCGTGAGCGAATTGAGTTAATCAAGAGTACTTCATTGGAAGAGGCCTACGAGCGTAAAATGAACTATGTAGAGCTTCTTCGAAGTCGTCCTATTGCTATTGAGACGGCTGCTGCCAATGAACAGCATTATGAGGTTGGAACTGGTGTTCTTGCTGCTTGTTTGGGGCCGAGAATGAAGTATAGTTGTTGTCTGTATCCTAAGGGAAGTGAAACATTGGGTCAGGCGGAAGTGGAAATGTTGGGAACTTATGTGAAGAAGGCTGGATTAAAAGATGGGATGAGCATCTTGGATCTTGGGTGAGTGTTTCTGAGCTCTAGACACGAGGTCTAGAAAAGGGGATGGTATGAACTAATGCAATTCAGGTGTGGTTGGGGCTCAGGAGCATTGTACTTTGCGGAAGTTCTCCCAAATTCTAAGATCACAGCGTTCTCGAACTCAAGAACCCAGAAGCTATACATTGACGAGAAAGCCAAGGAAAAAGGGCTCAAGAATTTGACAGTCATCACTGGTAATGTCGTCGATTATGAGTTTGAAAAAGAGAGTTTCGATCGAGTTGTATCCATTGAGGTAAGTCACATGCAAGAATCCGTTCGAGGCAATGGCTAATCAGACGAAGCTCTTTGAGCATATGAAGAACTATGAACTACTAATGTCAAAAGTTGGAAGAGCCTTGAAGCCAGGGGGAAAACTATTTGTTCATATTTTTGCTCACAAGACTACACCTTACGACTTTGAGGAGGGATGGATGAGCACACACTTTTTCGTAAGTAGAATCGATTCTCTAGACTTGGAATTACAATTTTGAATCTGGGAGTGTGATGCAATCTTGCTGCATCGCCTCTGATATCTGATGCACTTTTGAGCTCTGATTATACTTCAAGATAAATTTCTCTAAAGGCAATTACTGACTCATGGATGTTGTAGTCTGGAGGTACCATGCCCTCAGCGGATTTGTTGTTGTTTTTCCAGAAGGACCTCAAACTCGAGAGGCAATGGTGGGTGAATGGCCAGCATTACGCAAAGACTTGCGAAGTAAGTCCTTCAACCAGTTTAAACTTTGGTCTTCCATACTAATAACAATCGTAGGATTGGCTATCGAAGATGGTAGCTAGCAAGCAGGAGATTTGGCCTCACCTAACAGAAACATACGGCGAGAAGGATACCGCAATGTGGTACTACCGCTGGCAAATCTTCTACCTGGCAGTAAGTTACTTTCTTCTGTTTTTTCAAATGTTCTTTGCTAACTCAATCACAGTGCGCCGAATTGTTTGCTTATGAAGGCGGAGATACATGGGGTGTATCCCACTATTTGTTTGAGAAGCCCAGCTCTGCCTAATAGCATAGACACTGTAGAACCGATAGACTACGTATAATTGACTTAATTTTAACTCCAATGCCCAATGATATATTTCCTTCCATATGTACAGTTCTTGGCCCACTATCCGTGTTGTGATTCCAGACTCTGCTTTGGACGGTATCTCTTGATTGTCTGGGTCCTGGCAGCACATGGATACATCCTGACTGCCGCCGCACCATTTTCTCGTTCTGACATTCAATGATCCCAAGGATGCTTCCAGCCCAACAAAGCAGGACCTAATTTGTGTCAGTTTCTGTATTGTTTTGACTAGATTCATTGAGTGGCCGTACCATCTTTCTTCGCGCGGTACATCAACTGTATACGAATTAGCATGGCAGTAATGAAAAGATTGCAGGAGTATACATACGAAGAACCACATGCTTGCTCCCAATGCTGTACCAGCGAATCTGTATATAGGTGGAGCTCTGTAGAGTCCTCCGGGTCCTGGAGGTGGTTGTGCCATTATGCTGCTAAGCGTTTAGTACCAGATACAAATATAGCAGAGAACAGATTCCATGCAGTTAATAGCAGGCGTACGGATGACTTACGATGGTCGTTGTCTTGTGTTGCTTTCAGAAGTGAGGGTTCAATATGCAGATTGAGTCCCAGTCGTTCATACACAACTTTGAAATCCGGCCCGGGAGCTAAATGTGATGTAATGGCCCGACATTTAAGGCCACACAGCAGAAAGCTGGGTACTCGCCCGATAACCTTGAACCTTTGTATTTAATTCACTTTTTCTATTGTGTACTGTACTATAAATTTTCTTCAACAAAATCAATCTCCTTCCTACTGTCTTCCCGCTTCCTATTGTACTGGGGAAGGCAACAATGCTGTTAAGATCAATCATAATCTCGCAACACGAGCCCTGAAATCGAAGCTTTAGTTTTAACTATCTACTCTCTCATCCAACACCATTCAAGACAGACGTCATTTCTTTACGAAGAAAACTCTCGAAATCCACAACTGCAAGATCGCATACTCGACAATCTTCGCGCACACAACAAGGTTCCCTGCTTCCATCTTCGTTTCCTGCCAGAATGGCGACCCCATCACGACCAGCGCCGCAAGCTACCAATGGCATCTATACTCCAGAGCATGCGCGCCATCATACTCGGGCGCAAAGCTCATTTCGCGGCTGCTCCAGAATTTCAGATTATGAGGTCATGGGGAAAATCGGAGAGGGTACATTCGGAGAAGTACACAAAGCCAAATCCAAAAAAACTGGCATGGTTGTTGCTCTGAAAAAGATCCTGATGATCAACGAGAAAGATGGGTTTCCAATCACAGCTCTTCGCGAAATCAAAACCCTTAAACTCCTTTCGCACGAAAATGTCTTGAGTCTGGAGGAGATGGCCGTCGAGCACCCGCAGAAGAATACCGATAAGAAGAAGAAGGCCATTATGTACATGGTCACTCCCTACTTCGACCACGATTTATCAGGTCTTTTGAAGAACCCAAATATTCATTTCACAGAACCACAAATCAAGTGCTACATGCTGCAACTACTTAAGGGGATGGAATTTATTCATAACAACAATATTCTTCACCGAGACATCAAAGCTGCGAATATATTGATCAACAATAAAGGTATACTTCAAATTGCCGATTTTGGTCTGGCGCGACACTACAATGAGCCTGTGCCAGTGGCGGGAAAGGGAAATGGAGAAGCAAAAGCGCATTATACTGTTGTGGTGGTTACAAGATGGTACCGTCCTCCGGAACTTTTTTTGGAACTGCAAAACTATACTCCAGCGATTGATATTTGGGGAGTTGGGTATGTTTAACACCTTGATTTCGAAAATCTGACTAATGATCACCAGTTGCGTCTTTGGCGAAATGTTCCTTGGGAAACCAATCCTCCAAGGCGAGAGCGAGGAGCAGCAGCTTAAACTTATTTTCGATTTGTGTGGCACTCCCAACGAGGAGAACATGCCTGGATGGAGATTGTTACCCAAAGCTCAGGGACTCAACTTCAGCCCACCGCGCCCTTCGACGTTAGCACAGAAATTTCGAGAACAGGGCTCAGGTGCTATCTCTTTATTGCAGGAATTGCTTAAGCTCGATTGGAAAAAGCGTACCAACGCGATTGATGCATTAAAGCATCCATACTTCAAAAACTCTCCTTTACCGCTAGACCCGCACGACATACCGATCCTAGAATCATCACATGAATTCGATTCAAAGCAGCATCGGGGCCAAAAACAGGCCCCACCACCTCCCAAGGGAGGCGATGTAGGCATGGGACCGGATCAGTGGGACCGAAATGGAAGCGGGCAAGGATATGATAACTACTCCAGTAATCGAAGTCACCAAAACGGTCGCTACCCTCCCCCTCCTCCACACGGTGGCTACAGAAATAGTGGCCCACCGCATCAGCAATACGATGATCGCAAACCAGCTTGGAGAAGAGATGATCGAGGTTTACCACCACGACCACCGCCGCCCACTGATTTCGCTTATGATGGTGGAAGATCAGATACACATGGTCACCGATCCAGATCTCAGGATCTAGATGGCCGTGGCCATCGTGATCGTGAGCACGCGTCTCTTCCTCGCAGTAGAGCTGGAGGAGGTGGTGGGAATATCGATACGTATATCCCAAGTTATAACACAAATAGACGACCAAGAGATGACCGTCCACCCCGCGACGACCGCCCACCCCGAGATGATCGACCGCTGCCACGAGATGACCGTCGAGACGATCGTCCACGACATAGTAATGGAACTAGACACGACTACGACAATCGAGGTTCCCGAGAACCTCGCGATAGTCGAAGTCGTAGTCCCAATCATGATCGTGGGAGAGATCGATACAGAGACCGAGAGCCGATAGGAGATCCTTATGCTCATCGTCGTTGATGTTACGTCGGTTTTTCTCAGAACGTAGTTACATTATTATTCTGTTCATTTAGCGTTGGGATCATAGTTGCGAGGGTGGAGATAAATCTATCTTCTTGATATTACTTTGCGAGATCATAGGAAGTGACTCGCACTTGGGGATTGGCGTGGGTAGCTTTTGGCTCTGGCTTTGGCTGTATCAATTTGGCGTTTCTCACTTCAATGTAATTTTGAAAGCATCAATGGAAGGAGGAGGGGATTTTCATATTCAAAGTATCAATGCAGGAAAGAAAAGGAAAGTGGGTTGGCTGGTAACAAATTGCTCGACATTTTATCAAGCAATCACATATATGAAGTTTCTCGGCTCCTATATTCGGGGACGGGGACATATCGGCATGTAGTTTTATATGGGCGGTTGCATCAATGGCACAAAACAAGATCTCTTTCTCTAATTTTTTCCCGGGAAGATTCATTCGCAAAAGGTGCACGGTGAGTTGGAACCAAAGAATCCGTGGATTTTATGGGGATAAAAAGGTGTGACGGCGAAAGATGCTATGCTACAGATACCTATTTCCCTCTCTTCGCTTTTGTATCATTGTACACATCATATCATATCATATCATATTAAATATCATATTGCACAATTGGAAGACACACTTGGGAATTTGAGAAGAGATTGTTTCGCGCTAGAACACACTATCCATTGAATTTTTTCGATTGTGATATTTGAAGGCAGAGAGCTCTTGAGAAGAGTCCTCAATTTCAATCTTCATACACCGAGCTCGTTGGGGTTTATCGTAAGATACTACCTATGTACTAGGTATGCTCTACGCTATAAATCTTCTCCTTTCCTGTGTCTTTCTTACATTAAAGACTTCCCAGTCTCGGACAATGTCTCTTGAGTGAATAAATTACAAAAGTATTTTCAGAATTCAAAGTCCAACATTGATAGTGTAAAGAAATCGTAGACACTATTAACAAACCATTAGAGGTTCCCTAACATTCTGCATCTAGAAGCTTCAGTTTCAGATTTGCAATTGTACTCGCAAAAATGTTTACTAAGAGTTCTTCGTGGATGTAATGAAACGTCTCTTACAAATTGCGCCAGTCACCCTTGTGAGCTTTACCGTGATGCCATGCTAGAAATCGACAAGTCCTTTCTCATACACCCAAACTCCATCCTATGCTCACCAGCCAGCCAGTTGGATTAACCATTGGGAAATTTGGCTCTTAAATTACACTCAATAGCATCAATTCGGTTTGCTCCGCGGTTGTGGAGCGAGTCTACCATGGTGTTAGTGTCGGTTCACATTGATTGGAGCTGGAAGTGGCTACATACTTGAGAAGCTCGAATTCATTGTATCTCTTCAGATACTTGTTCCCACGTCTATAAGCTTTCAATAGATCGCTAGGATGTTTGCTGCGAACAGGTCCGCCAACAAGTTTGACGACTTTTGATGAATCATGGAACATCGGATCAAAAACGAGAAGATTTTTCGTGCCGTCGGTTAGTTTCTCGAATCCAATGATTGTCATTGAGTGACCTGAGACGTAACAGTTAGATAGGTACGTGGAAGCGAGAGTTTGAGGATTTACCTGGATGTTGAAAGTATATGGGAGGCAGAGACGTGTCACGAACTTTGCAATTATAATCGAGAGCACCATCGAAGAAGTAAGACTCGATCTTTGAATACAAAAGATTGACTGCTGGAGGGTCTCCCCTATCCTTTCTTGTCTTCATAGCCGCAGTATCACATCTAAATTGTTTGTCAATTCAATGTAAAAATTCAAGAGCCTTGGAAAGCATACGGGATTCCAAGAGAGCAAAACATTGCTTGAGCCTATTGTTCATGTTAGTTGGTTGACATGATAGCTGGGCATAACAAAGGAGAAGCAGAGGAGGATACTCACGTCAGGAGTTCCAATATACTTTCTTGTTCCACGAATTCCACCGGTTTCTATTCGACCTTGAGAATTTATTCCTTGGTCCCAGGCGCTCTCAATATATTCTTGGATATCAAAAATAGTTGGAACAACATCACCGAGAACTTTATGACCAGGGAATTGGGATTTAACGATATACGAACACATCATTTGAATGTTTCTGTAGCCACAGAAGCCCCCTAAATAAATGGTTAATAGGAGAAACTCGGCAAGGAAGTGAACACCATACCCTCTCTCATGAGTTTTGAAACGTGGAGAACAGCCGGATCACACAGGTAAGCATAGCTTACTGAACGGTCTTGGTCCAGAAGCTGGGATAGTACAGGAATGATACCATCCGCTTGATTCGGACAATATTTGACCCTCCTCAATTGACCATCTGCATTAATCCTGTTGATCGTCTTATACTGGCCATCTGCTTGGAGCAACTTCACGAGCCATGATGGCATTTGCTTCTCATGCGCATGGGGACCAAGCTCTGCTTTCTGTTCATGAAAGAGGTCAATATCATGTGACAATTAACATTTGAAAAAGTCAGAACCTACACCTAACTGACGAGTACCCTTGGCAGGAGGAGGTTTGGATTGCGATTTCAGAGTGATATCAGGCATTTTCAAGATATCTCTCCATGCTTTTGTCCCGGCTTGCGCTGGCGGTGGCTCTCGGGTTTCGTAATCATGCCCATCATCGATGTTTCGCAGTGCGTGTGTGAGTTTCGTACCAAAACTAGCATCTTTACCAGCACCATTCTTGACTTCTTGTCTAGAAGACCCCGACGCGGGAGTATCTAGGTCCATATTTCCATCTTCTTCTCCGTGCATCTCGATATGACTATCAAGCTCATCAAACAATACCATTTCTCCACATCCATCAATCGGACAATCGGCATAGTTAACATCATCTTGATTTACCATGGCGACAACGCTTGCACTATCTTTTGCTACGAATGGTGATTGTCCTTCAGCATGTAATGTTTCCAAATGTAACTTTCTTTTCATTAGCACACGGGATTCTCTTTTTTGAGCCAGAGTAATATTTCGGAAAATGAACAAACCATTATTTGATATTCGCTTTCTGTTTTGAACCCACAAAAGGGACAAAGCATTTCTTGAGCCTCTGGCATCTTGACCTGGGCCATACGGTTGGTTGTGGTGTTCCTGGATAATGAAAGAATTACAAAGAGTGGTAGTTACGTTACGGCTGTTAACGTCGAAAGTGTATATGAACGAATGTATGAACAAGGGTCGAAGAGGTTGTCTTATACACGGCAACTTTTTAATCGGCTACAGGAAATATGAAACGGAAGAAGAGGTATTAAATAATCGTATGAACTTAAGAGAAGGTAGGTAGGTAGTGAATTGAAGACAAGAAGGGTTAAGAAGGAAAGAAGATGAAAGATTGATTGAGGTTGGTTGGTTTGAATGATTTGTCGATTGCTTACCTGGGTAGGTAGTCAGGTACCTGATGTGATTTGTTAAATCAAAGCGAGGCTGTTACAACTTATTATGATCTGAGGATCTTTACTAGGGACCTTCGTATATCTACTAGGTAAATAAATATTACGCAGTATAAGCAAATGTTACTAGGTAGATAATAAATATTAGGTAGATATAGTGATGAGTTGGCTGGTTGGGAGGTTAGCATTTATTAGTATATTATTATTATTTATTATTACCGATTAAATATATATAGCAAGTGTAATAATATTATATTCATAACGCTTCCCTCGGTTGAGAATAATATTAATAATTTGCGTCTTTATTATGTAAAGATTGATCAATATAATATATTCGTCACCCAGGTAATCTCAAATTTGGTTGACAATTGTCTTTTCTTTGATTGATGAGTTTCTATGAACAAAATTATGGAGGTGTAGATAGATGTTCACCAGGTTTCTTCATCAGAGTAAAGTCAAACTTTCTCCAACGTTATGCCAAAGCAAAGAGAGACATGGTCACATGAGAAGTGCAGCTTCCAACGCCATCAAGTAACTGTTTTCGGTATCGTACATATACCAACCAGTTCCAGGGTACGGCTGTATTTTTCCTCCAAGGAACTCACGAGACGACAACATTTGACTCTTCCACATCACCACAACGAAATGACACTCCAGCACAATGTCAAACTCAAAATTGAACAACGGTTGAACCCGAAGTTAACGGCGGATCATCGGTCACTGAGCGGTCACTTATCGGCCATGAGATACCGCAAGGCTGACCAATTGCATAAATTCCCCGTTTAGACCCAAAACATTTTTCTGTTATCTCTGGTATCATATTCTCAACTTTCCTTTCTTACTTCGCATACGGTAGCAAGATCTGATTCCACGTGCAATATGTCCCCTCGTTTGCTATCACCTACTCTCCTCCGAGCATGTCGGAGGAATTACTCTACATCTAGCACCGTTTCTTTGGCGTTCGATTTGCACGAACCTGCCAAAGCCTCGTCCAATGCTCCACGAGCCATCATCTTCATGCATGGTTTATTCGGATCCAAGAAGAATAACAGGAGCATTAGTAAGTGAGCTTTCCTTGCGCACCCGTCTTATCGTCGTTACGGTTCACTAATTCTCGACCTCAGGGCTCTCGCAAGAGATCTAGGAAGGCCTGTCTATGCCGTTGTAAGTCATATCTTTCGAAGTGCTTTAAAGAGCATATATTGAGAGCAAATAGGATCTGCGAAATCATGGCGACTCACCGCATCACCCTAAACACGATTATACTGCCATGGCAGCCGATGTAGCTGGATTCATAAACGAGCATAAACTTACCGGGCCTACACTGATAGGCCACTCAATGGGAGCAAAGACTGCAATGGCTTTAGCACTTGAATCGCCAGAAATGGTCGAAGATATAGTATCCGTGGATAATGCACCCATCGACGCGGCACTCCTCAGCAACTTCGCCAAATACGTCCAAGGAATGAAGAAAATCGAAGAAGCGGGAGTCTCCAAGCAAACTGAAGCGGATAAAATCTTGCAGGACTATGAAGAGGAGCTTACCATTCGCCAATTCCTCCTCGGAAACCTTGTGCGCACTGAAGATAAGACGCAGAAATTCAAGGTTCCTCTCAAGATTATTGGAGCTGCTTTGGACAATCTGGGCGATTTCCCGTTCAAGGATCCAGATTCGATCCGCTTCAACAAACCTACATTATTTGTTCGTGGAACTCAAAGCCACTATGTGCCAGACGAAGCACTTCCTATAATTGGAAAGTTCTTCCCCCGTTTCGAATTGGCCGATATAGACGCTGGACATTGGGTAATCTCTGAGAAACCAGAGGAATTTAGACAAGGTTTGTCTTTCCATTTGTGGGCAGAACTGTGAGAACCTTTGCTGACTGATGTGGAACTAGCCGTCGTAGAATTCTTGAAGCCAAAGGAATAGAAAGGGTAAAAATGTACAGTCTATTGTGTGTATGTAAAAGGGTATCTGCCATAAGTCCATGTCATCCAAAAGAATAATACCCACGTAACGCCTCCGTATACAAATGCTTCGTACCCACCATTCCACGTACTGTTTACCTAATATATCATAATGTGTGCCCAGTACCACTTGATCTTACTTGTTGGAAGACTATGAAGTCTAGCAAGCGCATCCCGATGTAGAGCTGTTGTTGGTTCCTCCGATCGTGACCTGTAAATTCACACATTAGCACACCCTTCCGCTGCACAACCGCAAGCGCATGAAGAACTTACACCACCAGACTTCCTCTGCCCCCCCTTCAACAACTCCGGTCTCTTGACGACCTCCCTCACCACTCCCTCAAAAACCCCCTTCACACCCTCCCTAGTCTTACTACTACACTCTCCCCATCCTGCCACACCCCTCTCTCTCCATTCCTCCGCCAGCCTTCTCCCCTCTTCTTCGCTCACCATCCGCTTCCCTTTACCATCCAAATCACATTTCGTTCCCACAATCCAGAATACACATCCATCCACCGCATTATTCTCCGCCTCATCAATCCATCTACTCAAACTATTGAACGACTCGCGATTCGTAACATCATACACCAATAATACCGCATGCGCGCCCCGGTAGTAAGAATTCGAGAGCGTGCGAAAACGTTCTTGGCCTGCTGTATCGAGCAGATTAAGCCGGTAAGGAGAGCCGTGGATAGAGAGGGTTTTTAACTAGAAGGTAGGGAGGTGTTAGTATATATGCGCTATTGTTCTGTATCGTATTATATCATCCATTCAAATAAAAGAGAAAGGAAGAACGAAAATCAGAGACAAACCTTAAAATCGACGCCAATAGTAGCAGTACTACTTTCTGAATCAAACTGATCATCACAATATCGTATGAGCACTAGACCAAAAAAAATACTCTATTAGCACAAGCCTAGCCTTTTATCTCAACCGCAATAAAACAAATGCATAAGGTGGAATCGGGGGTCATACATGCAGATTTACCAGCTCCTGACGGACCTATCAAGAGAATTTTAAGAGTTGGTATAGATTCGTCGGGTGCCATCGTGAGAATATCGAGTAGTCGTTAGAGAAACAAAAAACTGAGTGTGTGGATGTGAGGTTGATGTTCTAGGTGTAGAAAAGGGAGTGGTATGCATATAAGGAAGGAAAGATGTTGGGGCCATGTTAATCACAACGTCACTCGCTAAAAGCAAGGCTGATGCAAGATCAACAACGCCACCAGTGCATTCACGTGGATCGTCCTCATGGACACTGTGTTTTTGCATTTTTTTGACATTTTTGGAATTGAATGATAGCCCAAGGCTATATGTGATGCAAAGTCACGCCTATATTGCCCAAAGCCCAGACTTGACTACATATCATGCACCATCAAACCCAAACCACATAACATCATCATCCTTAATTTATACTTCCTCCAACACCTTCTCCTTGAATTCCCTCTCAACCTTTTGGCCCTGCTCATCTGTGTTTGACTCGCCGTGGAGGTTAAGAAGAGCACCAAGGTCGAACTTGGGTGCCTTCAAAAGCTTGACTTTTCTGATGTGAACCTAGTGTAAAATTAGCATATAGAATTCCAACCTCTCTAAATAACTGAACATACGTTTTGTAATGGGTAGATGCCTTGGGTTGCCTTCTCAATCTCACGACCGATAACCTCTGGGATGAGCTTGGCGGTGAGTTGAGTGAGGGTGCAAGTGCTGGCCTCACGTTGAATAATCTCGGTCATCTTCTTGCGGATGGCTCTGATTTGGGAAGAAGCAGCGTATGTGGTCTTCTTGATTTGGTTAGGTCTGCGCTTGGTGAAAGCAATGGCGAAGAGACGGAGGAGGTAGTCGTCGGTGGTCTTGACGGTGATGTTGGCCTCGATCAAGGATTGCCACTTTCTGACGAGAGATCTGAGCTTGTCTGATGTGAAGTCGAGACCGTGGAAGTTGGTCAAGCAGTTCTTTCCTTGAACCTCATCGACACGGAGCTTAACCTTGCGGAAAGCGTGGTCCTCATCCTTTTGCAAATCGGCCAAAGAAACCTCGACGATTCTTCCCTTCAACGAGTCGTTGGCGTTCTTGAGACCGGTGGTTCTGTTGACAAGGGTCTTTCCGACACTGTAGAAATTATTAGATGGAATTCGAAAGATGAGTAATGGGATTGCCGTACTCTCTGATTTGGAATGAAGATGGTGCCTGTGATAAATATTGTCAGTCTCGGCGGATGAGGTTCTTGTGTCAAAGTTCAACATACCTTGATTTGGTACCAATCTTTACGGGTGAAGGGATCCAAGGTCTTCTTCTTCAAACCCTTCTTGCCCTTAGAGAGACGCTTATTCCTGTCGTGCTGTCAGATTCCAGTTCGTGATGCTTTGCCCCTCGCCCTCCTTCAATTGTCGCGAACCCGCCATATCGAATCCGTGTATATTGCGATTCATCGATTTGCAACAGCACAGTATCGGGGAAATGGGATATAATAGCGAGGAATTTACTCACTTTCCGACAGCCATGATTGCGATTAGTTACCTTTTCGCCGACTGAGATTGAATTGTTGAGTGGGCGTTGGTGGTCTGGTGAAATCAAGAAGAGGTCTTCAAACAATTTTGATTTCTGTGCGTAAATGAAAATTAAGCGAGTTATTTTTGATAGTTCCAATGGTCCAAGCGCTACGAAGGGTCAACGTACTAAGAATTGCGGCAGACCCAATCATTGAAAATGCATGGGAAAACTTTTGCAAATTTGATACAATAAAGGAATTTCAGGTGAGGGTGGAGGGGGTCAATTTTCATTTGGAGTCGATGGGACTTCGGAGAGTGTTATGTTCTATCTTGATTTCTGGTGTTTGGCTTTCTTCTCCCTGTGGTAAGGGTCCCTCCATCTCCATACAGACATGACAAGACAGCAAAAGCGACATACCAATCACTCATAAGCTGGCTCCTGCATTTAAAAGCATTTGAATCTTTGATTCTACATAGGACAATGACAATTATGATAGTAGCAGTCTGAGGTAGTTTAGATGTTCCTCCATAGTTCCCAGCAGTATCAATATCAATATCAATTAGAACCTGCTCATTAGATATGCACGTAGGTAGGAGGGTAGGTATTCCATCTAACTCCCCATTCAAAGTTCTCCTATAGTTGGATCCAACATCGAACATTGAAAGGAATCTTCGCAGATGATCTATTTTTGCCATCACCCGACTACACATCCTCGAGACATCCTATCCTGTCCATCCTACATCCTACATCCTACATCGTGCAACTTATTCCGTCCATGTGGAAAGATGGTAACTGGTACCGGCATCGGTATCACTTGACTGGACCTCTGACTTTTATTACTTTATGACTTTGTGAAAATAAAGCAAATAATGAAAATTCTCATGTCAGTTCATTGTTCCGGAGCCTCGCCGAGCCTTGCCGATGACGCGATATTCTACCAAAGCAATACTTTGCGAGTTTGTGCTTGTCATGCCCCTCTACTTTACTAGGTTTTGACTCATCCATACATGAACATCGAAAACTTAAATTGTTGATTAATCCCTTGACTTTTGGAAGATTCATTTTCTATACTCTTCATTCATCATTCATCACTCTTTATAGTTTTTCATATTCATATTCAGACTTCTCAATTAATTGCTTCCAAAATGACTACACCACAAGATATCGTTGGGGCAAGCGGCCTCTCAAGAATGGTCTCCAATAGCATGAACCTGAGCGGTTCCCCTACATTAAGTTTCCATTCTCCACCCTCGAGCTATGGAGGTTCGATGTCGAGAGCAAATGCGCAAGCCCAGGCAAAGCAATTGAAGCCATTTGATAAAGAAAACATTAAGATTTTGCTCTTGGAAAATGTCAACCAAAGTGGAAAGGATATTCTTACCGGACAAGGATACCAAGTTGAATCACTGAAGAGTTCTTTACCAGAGGCCGAATTGATCGAAAAGATTCGGTATGATGAATGAAGCCAACAAAGAAGCAAGACTTGCTAATAACTATTGTATAGGGATGTCCACGTCATTGGAATCAGATCGAAAACCAAGCTCAACGAGAAAGTCCTTCGTGAAGCCAAGAACCTGATTGTGGTGGGATGTTTCTGTATTGGCACAAACCAAGTTGACCTTGACTACGCTGCCGCACATGGAATCGCAGTCTTTAACTCTCCCTTCGCCAACTCCAGAAGTGTTGCAGAATTGGTCATCGCGGAAATCATTGTCCTTGCCCGTCAACTCGGCGACCGATCGAATGAATTACACAATGGAGTTTGGAACAAAGTTAGCAACAAATGCTGGGAAATTCGTGGAAAGACTCTTGGTATGTAATTGCACACATGCCTTCTTTTAGCATAGGGCTAATTTTCTATTTCAGGTATAATTGGTTATGGCCACATTGGATCGCAACTATCTGTTCTTGCCGAAGCCATGGGCATGTCGGTGATCTACTACGATGTTGTCAACCTCATGGCTTTGGGTACTGCCAGACAGGTTCCTACTCTAAACGAATTACTCAATACCGCAGACTTCATCACATGCCACGTTCCAGAACTTCCAGAGACCAAGAATCTCATTGGCAAAGCACAATTCGATCAAATGAAGGAGGGAAGCTATCTTATCAATGCCTCCCGTGGTAGTGTGATTGATATTCCAGCTCTCATTGAAGCCTCGAGAAGTGGAAAGATTGCCGGTGCAGCTTTGGATGTATACCCAAGTGAGCCAGGTGGAAATGGACCTTACTTCACAAACGAGTTGAACACTTGGGCGGAGGATCTCCGTAATCTTAAAAACATCATTCTCAGCCCTCACATTGGTGGCAGTACCGAGGAGGCCCAACGTGCTATTGGTGTTGAAGGTATGTGCTTCTCCAGCATTGGAAATATCGTCAGCTAACATGATCTTCTAGTTGGTGACGCTCTTGTGAGATACGTGAACTTGGGTGTTACTCTTGGAGCTGTAAACTTACCAGAGGTCAACCTTCGTTCGCTCACACTGGACGAGTCCAACCACGCGAGAGTAAGTTCATTTCCCGTAATTATATGATCGATTTACTGATTTTAACAGGTTATCTACATCCATCACAACATTCCTGGTGTTTTGAGAAAGGTTAACGAAATTCTCGGTAACCACAATGTAGACAAGCAAATTACTGATAACAAGGGCGATGTGAGTAACTTTTGGTGTTTAAATTGTTACAATCATGTGCTAATACCGTTCAGGTTGCCTATCTCATGGCTGATATCAGTAACGTACAAACTAGCGATCTCAAGGAGATTGTTGAGAGCTTAGAAGGTTTGAGCTGTAAGTTCCTCTGCACATATAGTCAATCATACAAAACTAACACATTCAGCACGTATCCTCACCCGTGTGCTTTATTAAGCAACGAAGAAATAGAATCGGATGTACAAATTTGCATTGGGAGTTTTGAATTAAAAGGGCATTCACCAGGAGTGGCGGCGCTTGGTCTTGGGATTGCATCTAAACAATCCCTTCAACATAGGCAGGGCGGGAGACAAAAAAGGTTCACCTGAGAATTGGAAAATCGGATCAAAAAAGTTGTATATTAGGCGTAGGATATAGCCCAATACATTTATTCTATTGGAAATAAAACACTTGCTGGCTTCGATCATCATCTTGAGGAACTAATCAACTTAATCGTGTAGGGTCTGTCTCGAAAGTAAATTACAATCACTAGAATTACAAAAATTTCGATAATGTGTTCAATGGACAATAATGGCCAAGCGGCACTGATCCGAATATCATGGAGGAGCCATGAGGATCGCATAATGGACGATTTCATTGATTTCACACAGCTATTGATGAACTGAAAAATATAAAACTGTTAGAATTACGCTGTTCGAGCCAGTTTTCTGCATTCACACCTCTATGGCCATGTGAATATCTTCATCTTGTTTCTAATCTAGTGTTATGGGACACAGGAGCTCGATTTTGGAATACCATAACAAGTTCATTACGTACCAGGTTGAAAAAATCGATGCGAGTTTTCTCCTCTCCTCAATCATTTACATTCTCTTTACCATACAGATCTCTCTTGTCCATCGCACAGCAATCAATCAATCAATCAAACAGGCAATCTACTCATAACAAAGAAAAGGCGCACGAAGCCAAAGGGTATTTTTAAAGTGTTCGATTAGATTGTTAAATAAATACCAGGTATTTCTTTGAATAAATACCAACGCCCAAGACCAATGTATATATGAAAGGGTATATAGTGTAAGGAAGGAATGCCAGCCATAAATACAGATTCCCAATGTACACCGAATCAAACATTAACCCATATATACGGAGCACTGTTTACCCCAGGGGGACAACATCCCATTCATCCCATTCGGATCGACAGCAATCCCTCATCCGTCAAAAATCCGAGATGAAGAACGCAGAAGCTCACCCCGGAATTGCCGAGAGAGATTCTCGGATTCGCGATCGAATCGACCCACCCCGTACTGTACTTTTTACTAAAGAATTACCACCGGTCCCGTGTTCCGGACGCCCTGAACACTTATCCCGTCCGTCCATGTATGTGTCCATTCCATCCGTGTGCTGCTGCACGGAAAAAGGTATCAAAGAATATCCGAATATCGAAATCTGTCCGTCCCAAGAACCAGCCCAAGAACCTATTACTATGATGATGATGATGATGATGATGATGATGAAGGACGATCGTCTCGTCCCACTTATGTACTTTATTTTTTTTCTCCATCTCTTTTCCCCATCCTGACTATCCAAGCAAGTGATTTGTGAAGAGCCTCTCACGAGACGCTCTTTCGTTCCATCCTCTCATTTGGTTCTTGGTATCCTTGAAAATCTTCAAACGAGGGAAAGCTAAAGTAGCCCGCTGCTATCACTTTAATCAGCCAATTGTCTTCTTAGGGAACTTCAAGCCCGCAATCCAGAAAAGGAAATACAGAGAAAAAGAAGGCCAAAAAAAAGAGAGAGAAATAGAAAATACTAACACTGGAAACCACCCGAGCACCCCTTCATCCCCAATTCCTGCTTACAGCTCCTGGCCAATCCGCTGCCGCTCTCCGGACTTCGAGGACTGCGATTCCCAGGCGTCGAATACGCACTGCCGCTATCTCTCCTCGAGCTTCCTCCATTCATGTGATCTTGCTGAGCCGAGTAGCTAGCCACCCTCGTGAGAATCGACGCCGCTTTGGTCGAAGCATGGAGCGTAGCGAGATCCTTACGCGAGGCATTGCCGGTGACGAGGGAAGGCGCTGTGGCATGTGCTCTCATGAGTTTGGGTCGAGCAGACATGCTGGGTGAGGATCCGCGAGATTGAGTTTTGGTGGACATGGTGAAGTTCTATGGAGGGGACAGAGGGGGATTGTGATTGGTTGGGTCACGTTTGATGTACGGTTGAGGCGAAGGAATGATCGTCCTGTGATAATATATAACCTTTCGTTTTCTCCACTTGGGTCGAATGATAATCCGGAGCAGACCGATTGATGAGATTGGGGGAAATTGATGATAGATTTGAAGCTTTTGACGATATTAACTCTTCGTAGAGAAGTAAGTGATCAAGAGTGTATTAATTCCGGGGCAGGTTTTCTAGAAGGAAAGAAAGAGGAGTAAAGAAAGTCGGGCGATACACTTGTCTATATTAAATAACACACACAAAAAGCATGGCAGGCCTGTCAAGCAAATGCAAAACACTACGTAGATAAACAACTCAGGCCGATTTAGGACATCCTTACCAGAAAGCCGATAAATAAGAAAAGGGTCGGTCTGGCCACATGTCAGACGGTGAGCTAATTGCCGCAATCATTGCGTCCACGCCAACAATAATGATGTGGTGGGTTGTTAATGGTTATGGTGTTGTACACATGCATCAAACGTGCATGGGAAAAGGTGGGCAAGCTTACCATCCAAAATACACTATCAATGTTGACCCCTCACTCGGGCCCGCCTTACTGGTTGCCCCCCAATAAATGCTTGGATACGACTCAAACTTTACGATAATATGGCGTTCCCCCCCAATTCTCGAGAATCTTGGAACTTGGGAGAATTGATATATATATTGGGTGGTTTGACTGCATACGATACTTGTGAAGCCACTACTGTACCTACTTTCGGTGGTTAGAATACGGTAATGTCGTAATGTCGTATGTTTTGTCAAACAAGTCACCATGCTCAACCGAGATCTGACAAGACAAAAGTTAAAACATTGGTAAGGTAAAATAAAATCGTTGTTCTATGTACTAGACTACGTTTGGTATGTTAGGCATTCATACTGCATGCAGGTACATATTGTGCGGCCCGAGTCATGACTGTTTCTCTCCGCGCGTGATCAATGATCAATACTGTATTTCTGGGTCAGTTTCATAAAGTCTCACTACTGCAAAATTTCTTGAAGGGGTACATACTCATCCCAACTACGTCCCTTGACAGCAGCAAGTTCCTCCTCTGTCATTCTGTGACCAGTAGTAAAGTATCCTAGTAGCAATTGTTCAGCCCTATTACAAGTTACGGATGGTAAATGATGCGTGCAAGACTGACCTGCTGTAATCTTTGCATCAATCTCGACCCTCGAATCCGCTGGGATCCATGATTCAGGAAGCTCAACTCTCTCATGGATGGGGATTCTAGACGTTTGTTTAGTAATGGAAAACAACGTCGCGTGCTTGGTTCTTACCCTTGACCGACTATGGCATCGTGTTTCATGCTGTAAATATGGTTACTCCTGCGTCTTATGTAGTGGATTCAAGCAACTTACTTGCTCATACTTAGCATTCTGTCAATTTTCTTTATTCCCAGCCAATGAAGAATGTCGGGCATCAATGCCTGGAAACGCATATCTTTTACACCGGCAATATTTTCCGTGCGCTTGAAATATTCCGAAGCTCGATCAAGTCCACGCTTTCTAGCGTTATAAACGAGGTACTACATGACCGAGTTAGATGGCTGTCTCAAAGATCCAGAGAAGTGATAAATCATGAAGATCTGAGGGGATAAAATGCGGATGTCATCGGAAAATGATTAGGAAGTGGGGAGATTGTGTGGTGAAGTGGGTATTGGAACAAATCGATAAGCCTCGATGAGTTCCACAACAGAAGGATAAATGCAGTGCAGACAACCTATCAGCCGCGGAAATATTCAAATACCTTTGTAACCTCTCCAAGAGCTCTACCTTCTTTTCTGAAGTAAATCACTCGGGAAGCAGTTAGTCATGGTGTTGAAAGCATTGTCAAATACATAACTCACCGACTAGAAACGCAAGAGTCAGTAATTGCCTGTAAACTTTTGAAAGGAAGCAAGGAACAAAAATTGCATGAAAAAGCGAACATAGTTGAGGATCCAAATTGTTGCCCATGTGTCATTGAACACAAACTACGAAATATGCAAACAGATTTGAATATCAGGGTTGTGAAATGAAATCGATTGTACTTACCCCCACTACCACCCTTTTGCGCCTCCTTGACAGCCTCCTCGATACCATAGATCAGGTAAGGACGGCATGTACAAATATCAGATCCGAACACGTCACTTCCGTTACACTATCACAAGAATCAGCATGAAAGATCTCCTAATCGTAATACCTCAAATTTGCGGCATTTGATTTTTACCTCGTCATGAATTCGTAAAGCTAGGCGAACATTCTCATCTGACATCTTCGCGGGGTCTCCAAAGCAGTAGACGGTCAAACCACCTATTGATAATTAGGTATCTCCACGATAAATCGAGATTACTATTTCATACCAATTGGTGGCATGAAGAGCTTGATATCTCCTCTGGTAATCAATTCGGGGTATGATCCACCAGTGTGCTCGAACAATGCTCTTCTCAGAACCCCTTCGGCTAGACTATGGGTAAGCAGAACGACTCCCGAAATTGTGATAGAAATACGAACAGATGCCAAATCGCTCAGCCACCCCAGGTAAATACCATACCTATTGTGTTATTAGACGTATATCTTTCAAGCAGGTAATCAACATACTGGTTCCACGGCAAATTTTGTGACTGCAAGTTCACCAGCCTCATTCAAGCAAATCTTGCCATCCGGCTTGAGCCGACCTTCACGCACGCTAGCTTCTAATTCTGGTAGCTATAAATTTCATTAGATTTATATTACCAACTTGCTGTTTGAGGTTGCAAATTACCTTCATATGAGCTCGGGTGATTGCTATAAATGATCAATATAATTAGTTCCGCTGTCTAATACGATGTCGACCTTCCAGAAGGCTGTCAAAGTACATACCAATAGTAGGTCTAATATCAACTGAGTTTTGTCAGCTCAAAGCTACTTCATGCTCTCATTTAGAGGCTACTTACCATTCTCCTTCTCAATTGTGTCCTTGAAAAGCCATGGAGCGAGATGGCCCAAAGGATCCATCGATACTATCTTTTTCTTGTCGGCCCATTGAGGGAAGGGTCCGATGTTGGCGGCAGGTTCTGTGTTTGTGAAATCTGGCCTGGAATGTGTTAATTTGTTTACATATGAAATTCAGGTTGTTTGAAGCCTACTTATGGTCTGCCTTGATTTCCTTGCTAGCAACGGCCAAAGCATAGTATATCGAATAGGATCCACCGTGAGCTATCAATGTCTAGTATCAGATTACATCACGAGTTATTACGGGCAACCAAAACATACCTCCAATTGCTAAGACAAACCGTTAGTATACGAACAATCTATGAGCTGGTGAACAAACTTACCGTTACGTCTTCGGGCTGTTTCTGTAGCTCTGGAAACAACTACCGGTCCTCTGATTTGCGGGTCGCTATGACCCCATTCCATAGGAAGTGGATTGATACCGGATTGTCCAGGGTATGTACTTATATCATAATTCAGTTCAAATGTTTCTATTCCCTACATGCATTCTGAGAAACTCACGTGAGAATGATTCGAGAAGTACCGGTGCTTGCTTTTTGGGTATAAGAAGGAATGGGTGCTTCATCGGGCTTCGCCGCCGAGATTGTTGGAGACTTGGGCACCTCCGCTTCATTCTCATCCTTGGATGCACTTTCATCATTGCTTGCAACAGGCTCGGAGGGTTTGGAAATGGTTGCCGAATCAGTAGACGCAACATCTCGCACTTCCTTCATGCCAGCTAAGACATTGACACGACCGGTAATAGCATCGACGTTAGATGACAGCTGGATCTGGTTGAGTTGTAGATTTTTGATGGAATTCAGGATCTCCTGCATTAAAGCGGTCTGGTCAGGAGGCGGGGAAGACATCTTTGAAGGCAGTTTGGGATATGATGGATTTCAAAAAGAAACGGGTTTGAGAGGAAAATAAATGATTTCAGTTGATTTGGAATGGGAGCAAGCAGATCTTATAAGTGGAAGATGAGGGGTAATTGGGAATCGGCGCGTTGGTATTGTTTGCTTGTCAGATAGCTACTAGGTAGGTAGGTAGGTAGTAGGTAGTAGGTAGTAGGTAGTAGGTAGTAGGTAGTAGGTAGTAGGTAGTAGGTAGTAGGTAGTAGGTAGTAGGTAGTAGGTAGTAGGTAGTAGGTAGTAGGTAGTAGGTAGTAGGTAGTAGGTAGTTAGTTAGATAGCTCTCCAAAGGAAGGCACAAGAACACGTATTACGTGAATAACAAAAATGGTAAAGTGACTTTCCTCTTTCTCATGGATGATACGAGGAAGGAGATAGATAGACGGATAGATGGATAGATTGAGAGAAAGTGGGAACAGATTGATGAAAGTTGTATGCTAGTTGGTCATATTTGGCTGGAGTCTGTGGTAATGGTGATGGATTGCGTTGCTATCATTCACTTCCTTATAAAGCTGTTGTCCACTGTCCAAATTGGGCTGGCTGTATCTAAGATAGCACGATTCCGAGGTAGGTCTATCAGCCCCACTCTGGAGTATAAAGACGGAAGGGACTTGCACTGTGAATTACCAGTGGCTATATAGTACAATTTACGATTTACGATTTACAATTACGATTTACCATTTACAATTACGATTTACCATTTACAATTACGATTTACCATTTACAATTACGATTTAATATTTACGATTTGCGATCTACGATTTACCATTTACCATTTACCATTTACAAAGAAAGCCCCGTGCTCATAGTCTCAAAGAATCATATATGATGTGCGTACCTAGTAGAGATATTAGCCGTAGTCATTGATTCAGTCATTCTCGCTAGCATGTATCTAGCATTGATTCAATTGAGCCATCGTCCTGTTGATATATACCTACCTACCTACCTACCTACCTACCTACCTAGTACCTATCAATTCCTCAACTTTGAGTCACAATTGATAGTCCTGATTGATAACTCTGTATCAAACCCAAACCCCTTTTAAATCACAACCCATCTTTGTTAATACAAGTACACGCCATACCCACCCACTCACCATATCGACCAGTACGTACGTACCTACATCATCGGCAGCTTCCTAAACTTTCCCAAATTTCTTTCCAGGGAGTGATATCGCTATCGATAAGCCTGTACCCATACAAACAACGTATCAAATTCCAAGAACCAACCCAATCCAACCAACCCAGCAATCAGCCTGAGCCTAAAAAGATCCCCCCGAGCTCCCAAAGCTTTGTGACGCCTCGGACGCTTAGAAACTAGCAGCACAGGCTAGCAGTCGCGTCTTTACATCTTCCGAGCCGCGCTTGAGTCCCACTGCATTTTCTTAAACATACCTTATCATTACTCCTAGCCAAATTTAAAGAACTTCAAAGAGCATAATGGTAAGCAAATATCAATCTTCAATCTCTCTCGTTACAAGCTTCTAATCCATGCGTTAGGGTAAACGTAAGGCAGCCAAGAAGGTCCAGGGTCCTAAAAAGGTACAGCATTTTTTCGCAACTTTCCCGATTCTCTTTGACTTGCGACATATACTGACAACTTGCAAAGAAAGAAGTTCTTAGCACAACTTTCCCCTGTCTATTTTGTAACCACGAAAACTCCGTCATCGTGAAGATTGATAAGAAAGCTGGTGTTGGTCACTTGTCCTGCAAAGTATGCGACCAAAAATTTCAATGCGCCATCAACTGTAAGTTTTCTGCAACAAAGGAAGTCTGGTAGAGGATCATGCAAAGCTAATTTTGACCCGCATACAGATCTGTCGGCTTCCGTGGACGTATACGCCGATTGGGTTGATGCTTGCGATGCAGTCGCAAAAGAAGGAGATGATGGAGGAGATCTTGCCCCCGAACGCGCGCCTGCTCGACGTTCATCTGGCGCTGCTGGGAAGGGCGATGCGGATGACGATGACAATGATGACGACATAATGGGAGACGAGGACGGGATGGGTGGTTACGGTGGCGATGGAATAGTTGCGGACGACGAGGATTATTGAGCTTGGGATTTTTGGCTTGGGTTGTGATAATTTAACTGTTTGGAGTTTGGGAGGCTCACGGTTGGCGAAGCTCTTCACATGGTTTTGCCCTGCGATTGATAAATGGATTGAAATCATCACCTCTTCGGTTGCAAAACATATTGGTACAAGTGTCAGATTGATTGGATACACCAACGGATATTGTTTTTTATTTTCTTCTTCTTCTTTTGGTAGATAGCTAAAATATTAAGGAGACATTGAAACCCAGACCTTCTACATGGTATAGAATCTATCGCCAAAATCACCAAGGCCAGGGACGATATAACTAGATGAACATTAGCAAAATTCAATACTATCCGGTGAGAATCATACTTCTTTTCGTCGAGACCCTATCATCATGTCAGCTGAATTGTGCACAAAAGATTGCAATAAGTGAGTACCCACCTGATCAATAAATGCCGTTACCACTCTAACCTTCTGGTACTTCTTAGCGAAGGACTCGATGCCTTCTGGGCTTGCTATCAAGTTCAAGAACAGAATTCTTTCTGCTGGAACTCCTCGAGAAATCAAAACGTCTACTGCCATTGATGCAGATCCTCCTAAATCAAACATCAAAATGGAACCATTCGAGTTTTTGAACGTGTGACTTACCTGTAGCGAACATTGGATCAAGAAGCAATACCCAACGTTGTGCAATATCTTCTGGAAGTTTATCATAGAAGAGCTTAGGCAACGAGGTTTCCTCATCTCTTTGTATCAATATTTTACCAATTCGCACGGAACGACAGCAATCCCGTAGTCCCTGCTCCATAGCTTCACCAGCTCTCATGATGGAAACACCGCATATTTTTCCTTGGAATTGGACTCCTGCATATGTTCGACCAACTGGGGTAGTGATCGTGTGCTCTACCACTGGTAAATGATTGAGACCTTCCTCAACCAGTAAACGAATGATTCGGTTTGAGTAAAATATGAAATCGGCTCGCTGCGTGTTCTTGTCTCGGATCATGCTATATCACTCGAGGTAAGCATGTGGTATGGGTACGTGCAATACTTCAATGACGTACGTGAGAAGAGCAATAAGCTGCGGGGTTTGAGGTAATGTGTGAACATTCTCAAAGGAAACTGGAGTTGAAACGGTTGCAACAGGTTTCTCGGGGCGGTAATCAGGACCGACACTTTGTGCGGGTGATTTGACACCTTCTGCAGATTCAGAAGACATTTTGCTGTCAAATTTACTGAGGGGTAGAGCTTCAATGGAGCAGCACGTAGTCGAGATTGACGATGAGGTTCTTCTCGCTATTTTAGTTAGTGGTCAATTTAGTGATAATTTTGTAGCTTTATAAAGGTAGTAGCTAGGGAAGCTTGATCATTCACTCACCTCAAGGGAATCCTGCAGGTTATTGCTCAAAATGCAGAGCTGCAAGAATCTAGTTCACAACTCTGCGGAGCCCTCCGTATGATTTCTCGTGGGGCCGGTACAAAGCGAAATGCAGTGTGCGGATGAGTAGATAAACTGATAGCCGATAAGAACAGGGACTGTCTTGGCAGGCTCTGAAGAGTAGGTGCTATTCCAATTCTATGACAAACTGTTTTCAAAGTATCGTAGATACAAATAGATATCCTGGACTTCTTCACAACGGGAATGGGTCAAGAACTAATATTGCTTATTACCTGGTGAAGAGAACTTTTGTTGTTGCCAGGAAATAGAAATCAGTAGTTGACGTTAAACTTCAATCAATATAAGGTTGTCGATTTGCGGAGAATTACCTAGTACTGCTAGGTAGCTAACTGTACACAAGGTTCACAAGATTGTCAATCAATGGCTGTAGGAAAATCGTAGATATTGGAACAGATTCCAATGTTTTCCTCAAGAGAAATACCCCTCTATACTCAGGTATATTTTTGACTCGTGCTAATAAGCATGTTTAGGATTCCAATTCGTGAAGATAGTCTGAGCTGGAGAACAATGACTGTTAGGTTTCTTCCAATAACATTCACCTTCGCTTGGGTGGGGGGTCGGAATAACGTTCTCCCGGTGCCATCCTTAGGTAATCTTAGTGCCCTTTCCTCGAGTACTCTGGTAATCATTGCTTTGAACATTCCATGATTGATCAATTCAAATCTACAAACGTTTCCGTCAACGGTTATAGCAACCACCACTTCCTCACAAAGGCACTTTCGGCAGTTGAATGTCTTCAAGGCCGTACCACTCAAGGTCCTATATAAATGACATTTTGTTGAATAATTGATTTGCGACACTGGCATTTCCAACACTCGATGTGCAGATTCACCTTTGCATTTCCCGAGCTACCCATTTCCCCCGCGCAGCATGGCGGCCCATGAAAATATGGCAAGGCCTCGGAAAACAATAACCACATATGGAAAGCCAGCAAGGAAACATCTTGCAGGCCATAGCTATACAAAATTGGTCCATCGCACAACACCTTCCGATTTAACAAAGACAGGTCTCATTACAAACAATGAGCCCAGTGCGTCGAATCATGAAAGACCTCGCGATGTCTACAAGCCTTCACCTAGCACACCTTCTGCCCCAAAAATACAATCTACTGTCGATTTATACGACGTGCCCCTCAGCGATGAAGAGGAACCTCTTTTAATGCGCAAGAACGTTACCAAATCTGCACCGAAACTTAAAGTGAATTCTGCGATGTACGACGTACCTATGGGCAATAAAGAGGATGAAGCTGCGAGGCGGAAGAATGTTCCCAAATTAAAACAGAAAGCTTCGCAAACTTCTACCATATATGATGTGCCACTCAGCGAGGATGATGAGCCCCCCTCGGCGAAGAAGAATCTCTCCAAATTACCACCAAAGGTTACGCAAAAGCAATCGACAATTGGAAACGCGAAGCATTTCATAACAACAGAATCCGCGAATGTTAAGTCGGTGGAAATGCCCGATCGTAAAAAGAGGAAGTTATCACCAGCTGAACAGCCACGACGGGAGCCTTCCAAATTTGCAGCAACTTTGCCCAAGGTGCCACCACATCCTAAGATTAGGCAAGCTAAGCCAACTACGGATACTTTACCAAAACGAAAGGTCGTTCATGCTAAGCCTGTTATGGAGTCTATCCTGACCAAACCAGCAGTACATCGAGGTGTACAGAAGCAAAGTAATAAAACGCCAGTGCAGCAACGACCAAGATCCTCTACCTCTACCGGCAGCGCTGCGAGCTTACGGTTGGCTACAAGTCCTGGGCGTCACATCTCTCCCAAGGCTACGAAGCTATGGGATGCCCTCGACAACGAAACTCAAGAAACCACGATGAGTAGTGCAGATGAGCTCTCTTTAGTCGTGAGTACGCCGAAGAGAGTATATCCAACTGTTAGAAAGTTATCTAAAACTGCGGCTGTTGCGAAATCGGCTAAACTAACTCCTCGCAAACGACTAATCGATTCATTAGTCGAGCAGACGCCTCGCCAAGATTTGGACGATGAAGACGATGATGATGATGAATCCGGGAACGAACATGATAATTCTCAGCTTGAGGATCACTTCCAACATCTGAACAATTCAAGAGCCCAGAGTCTTGTCCCAGAAGTGCCTACTTTTACTGCACCTGCACAAGCTAGTCAAGGCCCCCCAATCGCAGGGCCCAAGTTTACGTATAGTCGACAGCGTTCCATGCTTGTTGAAGAAGACATGATGGAGCAATTGGCTTTTGACATGCCTCTAGAAACTCCACAAAGCTCACAGCGTCGCCGAGGCTCTATACCCAGCCTAAAGCCATTATCAAGCTTCCGCGAGGAAGAGCAGCAAGAAGAAGAAGCCGCAAGTACCGCTATCCGCACGATCCATGAACTAAGGCAAGCGGGAGCGAATAGTCGCTTTGCGGACGAAGTAGAAGATTTGCTCGATCGTATTGGGAGGCCTTCGATAAAGTTGTCGTCTATGCGACGCTCCGGTCTCTTGGACCTAGGTTTAAAAATGAAGGATAAAGCATTTGTTCGGCAATTTCGTGCCCATGGTGCTGAACAGCGACTATTTATCGACATAGGTCAAGAAGCTGATATCGTATCGGGATTTTTGATGACATCACTCATCACGCCTATTTTGGCAGAGGGAAGCGCGCCTCTCGTGGTATCGCAACTTCAACAACAAGGTATCGCAAAGCTACTAGGCCGTCTCATATCGGTTGAGAAAAACTTTGTCAGTGTGATAAAGGAGCGTAAGACAAATATGTCCAAGATGACACAGAAATCAATGGCAGCATATCATGATTCTCTGCTTTCAATTCCAGCATGGAAGGATCTTAGCCCACGTGAACTTTCCCCTCGAACCTTGGCCCTAAAATGCCTTGAGCTTATGGTTAGACAATGTAGAGAAGCTGGAGATGCTAGTGACATAATTTCTGAAGAGCTGAACACCAGTTTGTTTGAAATTTTAAAATTGTCAGATTCGGATGATGCGTGGGATTTCCCCCACGGAACAGAAGCAGTCGACTTTTATTTGACACTTTCCACTCTTGAATCTCACTCTCTTGTGTCGAGAATCGCCCAAGATGAGACAATCTGGATTCATCAATTGCTGCCTATCATAGGCAATACCCTCAATACCGCTTTGAATCGGCCAATTGAGAGCTTTGGCGAGCAACAAATTTTGGCATTGAAATTGACAGTGAATGTCACCAATCACAACCCGAAAGCTTGCGATGCGATTGTGGACTCGGATCTCATGTTCACCATTCTTCGCATCGTCGTTGCCAAATTCAAAAGCATGTCAAGCTTATGGGCGGAAGAGGAAATCGTCGTGGCTGTGGATAATTTGATTCTTCTCATTGGAGCGATGATCAATTTTGCCTTGTGGAGCACAAAAGCGCTTCAAAATATCAATGATTTTGCTGGGACGGGCAGGGACCCTCTGGATGAATTGATCCGCCTTTTTGTAGATAACAGAGAGAAAACCTTTGAAGTGAGTTCTTGCGTGAATTTCTCATTCCAGTATGCTAACTTTGATAGGTGGACTCTCAGCACGAATCACACAAAAACGTTCCGTT